AACACTTAATAAAAGTTGTCTTTCTACATTAATAACGTTAGAATTTTACTTATCTTTTAACAACCAACTAAATTTTTTTCGTACACAAAATGACCGAGCCAATAATCTTTTCAAGGTTGTTTTTTTTTTTTACATAGGCTGTTTATTTATTGTATAATTTTAGATGTGTAGTTTTTGCTTAGGTAAAATTTTCGTTTTTGAAACAATAATTTAGAAAGTATTGGTGTTCTTTTCATTGTTGATAATGATCTTGTAAGCAAATTATTACTGCAAGTTGTTTATATTTAATTCTCTCTCTTACTCAAACTTTTATTCCTTTGATCCAGATACTTAATCTTTTTTTATGAATTGATGAGAAATTCAATCTCTCCGTTAATACCTCTACCGATCTCTGAAAAGATTTACTCACATACACCATATCCAATGATATCAACGATACTATCAATTAGTTCCCTCCTATTCTCAATATACATTTTACAATCCCAAATTGTTACAATCGTTCATCTTTATTGTGGAGTTTTTCTATCACTTGTTTCTGTGATTATGGCAATTGGCACGGAGCGAATGGAACAATTGTGGTGGGGAATACCATTTGGATTGCTTATCGTAGATATAATTGCCTTGTACATTATCAAAGATTCAGAACAAGATATAAATGGTCTAGAAAAATTAAAATATAAGTATAAAGGGGCATAAATGTATTACAGTAATAGTCTAGTTTGCATTAACATAAATTTTGCCCATGAATTGAATGTTGTAAATATTTTGTATGTTCTATTAGTATTTTAAATTGCATAAGAAATTTTATTTAACTATTCTTCAGAATTCCTCAGAATTCGTATTTTTGTTTGTTTTCCCAGTACGCCTGACCATAATTAACGAATATTTGTTCGTGAGGCTAAAAGTGATATACGCCAGAATTTTAGTAATGTTAGTAACGTGACCACAAATAATTCTTGCTAAATTGCTAAATGGATCAAAATTAAATATTCACCTTAATATCGTCTTGAGCTACGTAGAGCACATACCAAATGTCATCATGAACCACATAAAGTTGGTCACCGTTATGTTTTGCTATTCAAAATTAAGATATTGAGTTCAAATCGTTTAAATCATTATTTAATAAATGTGCAAATTAAAGAATCATGCTTACAGTCACGATGATTAGCGAATCGCATATAATTTCCCATATGTTTGCCATCAACACAAACTCTCACTTTTTCGCCATCATCATCCAAGACATCCACAAGAAAATTGAATTCCCAAGCTATATATTTTTTAGGAGCATAAGTAATAAAATAAGACCTTTATAGTGCTATAATTTTTAACATACCATACTCAACATCATAAAGTTGACGCGTTAATAATCCTAATAGTTAAAATTTATGAAAACTTAGTAATTTTTTTTTTGTTCGGTTAATATAGATATAAACGCATACAAACCATTGTAGATCCCTATAAGATCAGTTGCTTTGAAAGAGCGACCAGCAAACATGCCCCATCTTACGACGTCATTAACCCAACGAATATATACTCGTCCATCATCAACATATGATCCATTCTCGACCTGAGATTTTATTTCTTCTATAATAGGAGAATACTTTTCTGACTGTGAAAGAATATTTGAAACTAACTCTTGATCAATTTCGGTATTGTTTAATAATCTGAATCTAAGATTATGCCTTTCAAGAAAACCAGCTATATCCGGATCAATAGTCTAGTCGTAATTAAAGATTACAATTTTTGTCATTCATTCGTTATATTTAAGCGTACAAACAATTAAGTATAAAGCTACAACATACCGGAAAATTTAATGGCTTTACATTAAATTCCTTTTCAAATTCATCCATATATATATGACGGTAAACGAAAGCGCCATTATCTAACGAAAGATAACTTTCAGCGTTTTTATAATCAGGAATAGAGATCCACGAGATTTTGTCTTCACATCCATTATTTAATACTTGACAAGTAACTTGCTGTCTATACTTGTCCCAAGTAACCCCTATAGATATAAGTAGTATGAATAAGGATATAACCGCAATAGGACTAACATTGAGTGTAAGTTCTTGAGATTCGAAAAGCTTGTTGGTTAAATTTTTTGTCTCTTTCATCTTTTTTTCCGCTTGGCCGTTTTGACCGTTTTGACCGTTGTTAGAATTCATAGTGTTCATAGAGTTCGAATTTTTTTTTCCCATGTTGGTTTTAAGGTGTGGCAATGAATATATCGGGCTTTATATTTGGTTCGCGACATGCTAATTTTTGTTTCTTTTCCTGATTTGTCATGCTGATCTGGATTTTAAATCATTTTTTTTTTAAGACCAAATTAAAAGATTGACAAGGTGCATAATCATCCTCATTTAATTTCCAAATTCTGCTTTAGTACGAATAAAACCTGTAACTGTAACGGTAACGGTAAATTATATGCGTAAAGACAAATAAAAAAAATTCCTACGTATAATTATATGATTCAAAACTATATAGTTTCAGAAACGTGTTTTTCTGAAACTACTAATATATAAGCATCTGATATATTGCTTAAAAAGAATTAGTTAATTACCGTATTTTCTCAACATGTGTACACGGGCCCATTTTAGTACGTACCCGAAGTACGCGTGAGTACTTCTATGTTTTTGATGTTTTATTATTATATGCCCAGGTACATAAGTATGATATTTCCATACTTATATACTCGGGTATAAATTGCTGCAGGGTATATATACATGTTGGGAAAATACGGTATTATCGTTATATTTTACTAATGAGCACGGGAAATTTTTGAGGGACAGTGTTGTACACGGACGTTATCCCGTTAAAATTGCAGGGACACGGACAGTAGGGATGGCAAAAAAAAAACGTTTTTTAATGATTTTTAATGATTTTTGAATTGTTTTAAATCATGTTTTAAAACATTGTTGATTGTGC